ATCTAACCTTTGCTTATTTAACACATTGCCATGGAAATTGTATTATTGATAGCTACAGCGTAAGAAAAATCCCCAGGCTGGTTTGGGGAAACAGATGCTCAAAAGACTTACTATTTTTTCATGTGATACTTTGCATATTCACTAGGGCCTAGGCTTTAGCCAGCACAAATTGTTTTTGCTGCAAAATCAATAAGCTCTGAAATCTGTATGAGCTGAAGACCTGTCAGCCAGTCCTTCCAATTATATTTAGACATTTACATTTATGTCAGAAAATATATGAGAGAGACTGTTATGAAAGAAAAAAAAAGGCATATTTTGCCAGGGAAAAGGGAAGGAATATGCACAAAGGTAGATGAGGGACCGGCTCTTGGCTTCAGTGTTGTACACATTAGCATTGGGCTGGAACCACTGAGAAGCTGAAGCTCTTGGGCCTTGTCTTGGGCTCTGTCTATGCTCTAGAGGAGGCTGGGGGACATGGTCTGGCCACTACCTTATCTCTAAATCTCAATGACCAACCAGGATGGCTTGTCCAAAGCTCCCATTGGGATGTTCATGGCCATTAGCCTTAGGAATTGTGTGCCTCAGTGCTGGTTGACCCAGGCCAACTTGGCAATGAATGTTTCTGTGCCTGCATCCATGTCCTAGTGCTGGTATTCATCACTATGGACACAGACACAGTGGACTTGGTAGCTCTCAACTGGCTTCCTGGGTTACCCATGTCCTACATGGGATGAGATGGGTGCTTCAGAATGAGACAGACAACAGGCAGCACTTTGGGGCTGCTAAGAAAACCACGTGGGAAAAAACCTGTGGGAAGAGCCTATTAATAAATCCCTTTTCACAAGCTCTGGTACTTCCAAGACTTAGACTTTGGTGCTTTATAAGATTTACAACCATGTAGATTAACTCCTGGAGTTATGCCCTATATTTTCATGGGTAAGGAGAGGCAAGGCCTTTTTTTTTGTTGTTGTTAAAATGGGGCAGCAAGGCACAATTTCATCATTCCCTGCATTTTATACCTTCTTCCCCCAGGGCAGGACTAGCTGGAGCTGAAGCCCTCGTTTCCCTGAGCGCTGCCGTGAGCGCTGGTAAGCGGCCGTTCCAGGTGCTCTCAGGCTGCTCTTTTGAAGTTGCTCCGCTTTGCAGGAAATAATTAAACGCTTTCTGGCTACGGCGTGTTAAAAAGACCGAGCACGCCGCTCTAATCCGTTGGCTTGGGCACTCACCTGGGAGATGATTAAGTAGGTGAGACTCTAAACACTATTAGGAAGGGAAAAAAAAAAAGAGCAGAAGCACAGAGGTGTCACTCAGATGTCTTTTTCCATTGCTCTTTATAGGAACATTTTTGCTGGTTTGAATCCCCACTGGAAGAGCTCACTGTGGCTAATCCTCTGAGAGCGGCTATGTTTTCTAAGTGGGAAATGGATATAGGATAAACAGCCAATCTGCCGTTGGCACGCAGCCCTCTCTGCCACGGTGTAATAAAGTCTTATCATCCACGGCGAGATGTTCGTCTATGGCTAAGCTCATTCAGAAGCTGAAGGAGAAGTGAGCACCATAGCTGGAAATCCGATAATGGCACCTATAAATAAAGGATTGCTGTTTGCTCCTTTAATGGCAAATTAAATTATATCTAGAGATTCAATAAGTTATTTTAAAAAATAAATGGTTCAAACTTTGAGCTTCTAAAAATATTCACACTTGTTAAAACTTCTTGGAACTACAAGTGAAGCATGCTTTTACTGTGTAATATTATAAACTAGCTAATTAAAAGCAGTAGGTGAATCGAGGATACTGTGATCCTCAGATTTAGTATAAATAGACCTTTATACTGAAAGAGGCACTAAGGTGAAGAGCTAAATCTCCCTAGAAGAATGGAGCCCATCACCAATCATTTTAAATTGCTTCAGCTGTTCAACATTAGTCTGTTAAATGTCTCGTTAACAGAGACCTGCAGCTTTTTCAGGAGCACATGGATTTATTGTTTCTCTTCGGTTATTGCCCGCAAATTTGAAGAAATCCTACCAAAAGATTTGTTTAATTTTTTTTTCTTTTCATTTTAGTGGTTTGTTGGTTGGACACTGGCTGTTTTTCGGTGCTGTAGTGTCTCCAGCATCTGAAACCCAAACCCAACCATGGTTGTTCTGTCTTCTGGGTCAAACTTAAGCCTAATGTAAAAAGAGACTTTAAAAGATGTATCAAGACAGCCCAGTTTCACTTACATTTTATCACTCTGGCTGCAGCAGAGTCATGTCCAGCCCAGAGGAGCTGAGAGTTTCCACCTCCAACTTAGGGCAACCTCAGGGCATCCTTTGGTTCCTCATTTTAAGGTATGTTGCAGCCGCAGAGAGATTGGTATTTTCCCTTCCTCAATGCCCTACTACTGTCTTCTCTCTGGACTTTCTATGGTTAATCTGTCCCACATGAAGCCTTTTCCTGATCTTTTTGCTTATGTGGATCCAGTTGATTGGTCCAGTTTCCGTTAAAGTTAGGGAGAAATAGGAGTGCTCACCACAAATGACCAAGATTGTCAATAGCAGAAACAGCCACACCATGGTCTGAAAGCAAATCCGCTAGATTGTGGAAAGACTTTGAGGAAAATGAGAGGTAAATCTGCCTATTTGCTTTCCCTCTGAGGATGAATGTTGATTTTTAAACATGCATCAATTCTAGCCATCCATCCACCATCCATCTGGGGATTTTTTCTCTTGAAGTCAGGCTCTAGTTCCTGGAAAAGCACTGTGATTTTTCTTATTAGAGGGACAGAAGAAAGCTGATTCTTTGAAATTTTGGATTAGTCAGAGCAGACGGTGGTGACAAGACGTAACTGCTGCTCCTGCTCAGAGGCAAGGTAATGACGCTGTTGTTCCGAAGTTCTTCAAGGAAACTCTCATGTGAACCAAACTGAGCCGTCTTGGACATGCAATTTGCTCCTGAGTGATAAGAAGCCTTTATAAGGCTTATATCGAAAAATAGAATAAAGCAAAATAAAGAGTTCGGAGCCATTTCTGACTCTTTTAGCTGTGTGATATAGTCTTGCTGGAGTTGGACATGCCACTGTCCATGTGCCCTCCTTCGTTAGCTCAAGGAACAATAAAATTTCAGACCACAGTAAACACCAGTGTCTTCCCTGGTAGCTCGCGTAACACCATGAAAACTGTGATGAATTCCTCCCCTGAATCAAACTGGTCATTGGTTTATGCCAGAAAGGCACTGCCACTTTATTGATGGGCCACCCACCCGTGGCTTGTATTTTTATTCTTATAAACATATAATCCCTTTCTGTTGACCTGCTGTCATCTTCTACCTCCAGATAACGAGTGGATTTGTTTGGCTTCGGTAGCGGTGGTGCACGTGAAAGAGCAATTGGGCTGTTTGCTTGGACAGCATCCAATCCATTTGCTTGGTGGACGGGATGACTTGGTTATATGTAGCTTGTACGTTTTTGCTTTATAATCTCAGCACATTTTTTGTCATATTGAAGCACACTGGATAGGAAGCAATTTGGTTTTATCATGATTTCCATGACGGACACATAGGTATCAGAAATGTGTCCCCTTTTACTCCTGTACCTTGCAGACTAAATTGAATCCTCGTCTTTGAAATCTTTCTAAACCTTATCTTTTAAATCTCTTTGCATAGCTACCCTACTCCTCTGTGGCTCATTTTCTTTTCCTGCATTTCAGGTGGCCCAATTAACTGCTGTAACACTGTCATACTTCCCCCTGTTATATCTCTCCAACGTATACTAACATCTTTTTTATGTGGTTGTTTTTGTTTCATGTCTCTTGGTATCAAATTGGTGTTTTCACTGAACTCTCCTCAATTACTCGTAGACTGCTTTTCCTTGTTTGGTGACAGCTCATTCAGAAACCATCAACAGACCAGATTCAGCTGTTGGTTGCACTGCGAGCGATCCCAGGCAATTCTATGGAAATCAGTGCGAATGAAATCAAAATCTGGCCTGGTGTGATCAAGGAGCTTATTACATTTCCATAACAAGGCAGAGCTGGCCATGCAGTTGGTTTTTGCATAGTATTTCCTTATGATTTAACTGAAGAGTAGGATATATATGCATACACATATATATATGGGTGTATTTTCACTTATGTCAACAAAAAAATTACATTTCTGAATTCTTGATGTGTGCTATAGCAACTCAGAACAACAGTTTTCACTTCCAACTGAGATGTCTGAACACTTATCAATTTAACTATCGAATAGTTACAATGAAAGAAAATTACATGGCCTGATCCTTCATGTTTAGGAAAGTGGGGCCTTTCAGTGCACTCAAAAGTATGTAGAAGCATCAGGAATTAAAGGATAGTGTCCATAAAGTAACAGAAATTAGAAATAGCATATTTTAATGTACTGTAACACATACTTCCTTTCCTGAACTTCATCTGTTCTCATAATGCTCAGTCCATATCTCTTTGATGCACTTTGAAGCCATTGGCATTCAGGGGATTGGGTAAAGGGAAGTAGTTCAAAATCATTTATTTAATCTTATGTAAACATGTCCTTTAAGTTTAATTTTTATCTTCAGTTATTTTATGCATTTCTTACCCAATGGCTAATGAAATTCAGCTTCCTACCACAAAGACAATTTAGACATATAATTTCTCATCTTTTAATATTGTATGTAAAATAGAATATTTTAAATTATTTTACTAGGTGTTAATTACTAGTTTTTAAGCCCTATTCATTTTTTTTTTTCTAAAAGATGACAAATTACTGTCCTAGCTCATTGTCTCTCTGGCTACTTTATCTCATGATGGCCTGGTCCAAGCTGGCAGATGCAGGCATGTGTATAAAAGAATTTGTAAAGAGGCTTGAGCCCAAATGCTAGAATATCAGAATACTGTGCTTTTTTTTCCCCCCAGAACAAAAAAAGAAAAATAAAATAACACAAAGGATTATGCTTTGGATCTCAAATATAAAAAGCTAGATATGCATGAGCTATTTCAATAATAACATCCGATTTTATTTTGTCTTTTAAGGTAAAACTGGCCACGCAGAGGCTGTACGCGTAGTATATCAGCCAGAAAACATCAGCTTTGAGAAACTGCTCAAGGTCTTCTGGGAGAATCATGACCCGACACAAGGTAGAGTGATGAGTGAGCCAGTATTTAATTATCTTACTAATTACAGCTGGGATAATTAGTGTTTGAGCTGTGTGGAAGAGATGAACCTTGAAATCACACTGGAGCTCAAGAATATGATTGCAGACATTTATTGACAGAGAAAGAGAAGGAGAGAGAGAATGAGCATAGAGAAACCCACAATACCCCTCCTCTTTACAGCTGTCTGGGCTGGGAAAATTCCCACAGAGAGACACACCAGACAATAGAAATTTTTTTTTTCAACTTTGATTATGACAATTTCTTCCGTAATGCTATCTTTTGTCTCCTAAATTAAAGCATATTTCCGTACAGCTTCGGAGTTGGCCATTTTAGTTATGCCGAAGACCTTTATCCTCCTTAAATTATAGAGGGATGTTGTTTTTTTATATTTTTAAATGACTGTGAATATCTTTTATGATTAGAGAAAAAAAAGGAACAAAAAGAGATAAAAGATGGGATGTAAAGGCAGCAGCATATTAGCTATTTGCCACATTCAAATCTTTTGATTTAATTTATCTTTCTTGGAACAGACTCCATGATGACATTATACACATCTGTGCAAACATAAATGGGAAACTGTGTTGAGAAAACATTTTACATGTTTATATGGATTCAATAAACATCATCCCTTCTACCATTTCCCAGAAATATTGCACTCAGTAACTCATTTCAATTTTTTAACAGCTATCCCAATTATGCCACTTGTCACTGCATCTGGGCACCAAAAATGCAGATGATACCTACAGAATAGGATCCCAACTCGGGAAGTTGTAACTCTGAGAAGGATCGTGGGGCTGTTGTGGAAAAGGGCCTTCCAGTGAGCCCACAGCACTGTGTGAAAAGGGGAACATCAGTCAGGGGTAGGGAAGCTATCTTCTGCATCTAGAGTGAGTGAAATCCCCGTAAAATGGAGCATTGTTTGCAGTTTCAGTGTTGACATGTCAAGAATGATATAGAGATATTGCTGGGAATTCAAAGAGGGATACAAAGGGGGCTAGAAAACTAACCTTATGCTGTGAATAAACACATTCAGCTGATTGAGGAGAGATGACTCTATGATCAAGTCAACTTTACAGGTACTTATGCGAGGAAGAGAGACCTCATAGTGAGGTTGGCGAGGCGGCTGCTGGTAAGCTGAGGTCAGAGAAGTTCCAGCTTGAAAGAAAACAGTTTTGCAGCTCTGAGTGTGGTTAAATGTCAGGAATCTTCTTCTATCGTTAATTTTGGGTCTTTAGGATGAGATCATTTGCTCTTTGCAAAGAGGAACTTGATTCAGTTCATGAGAAGAAATTCCGTGTTTGTGAGTCATTCAATGGCCTTTGCTGGGACCAGTTGAGTTGATCCTCTCTCATCTCCCCACTCCTTTCCACTGTACGTTCAGAGCGGTTTGTCAGCACCCTCCTGGAGACACGTGCAGCTCTGTGGGGATACAACGGCCAACTTCAGTTGGTGCTTCACAGCCTCAGTGGTTTTGCTTGTAGGGGTCAGCAAAGAAGCTTCAGGATTTCTCACCTGCCAAAACAATATGACCACTGCTAGAAATAAATAAATAAATAAATAAAGGGCATTTAACATGTATTCAGTGTTCTGCTGTTTCTGAAGTCTTGGCTTTGACAAAGTATATTTAGTCCATTCTTGTGGCGTATGTACAAAAGGTCTCTAAAGGGCTTCAGTGACTGAAGCTGGATACAATGGGATCCGGGTGAGATATAACAGCTGTGATAAATAGGCCGGATCAGCTGATCTCATGATTCCTTCTGGTCTTAAAAGTGATGACTCTACAACTTTGTATTCTCCTTGCATTCCCACATGACTAAGGTCCAAAATAGTTCCAGTCTGTGCTTTCAGAAGGAGGTTGGATGCTGGCAGATGTGTGATTCACTCCTTGATTTCTGGCAACGGGGGAAGCATCACCTAATTAGCCCGGGCACAGAGCCACGCTAATGTGGCTGGATTCCTTCTGGGACATGAGCTGATGTCTCAGCACGACGCTTTGCTGTGTAGATCCCCAAGCCATTCCCAGCCATTGCAGGCATCTGTGTGGCACTGCTTGGTGTAAGCACACCTAAGCCTTTGTATAGGCTTGACGTGGTAAAATTCCAAATGGTTCCTCCAGAATAATTAAAAAAAAGAAGCATCCTTTTATCCACACAGAAGATGCTGCCAATTCTTGAAAACTTTATTATTCTAGAGTTGGTTGGTGTGGGCTGGTTTCTTTCCTTTTGCATTTCTATGGTTTCGTAAGGCTAAACTCTGTGAAGACCTCTGCAAAAACCATCAGATTTCCTCCACCTTTCTTGAAATGAAAGAAAACTAACCCTTAAGGTCCCAATTTCAGGGTCCTTTGTTTCTTCTTGTAAGGTAGGGATGGTCTCCTTAAATACTTTTTTCGTACTTGAGCAATTAGCAGTAGAAGTTCTGTTGTATGGAAGAGTCTCTTCACCTTCACCTGCATCTACTTTGAGTTTGCTGAGAGAAATGTGGTTTTATGTAAAGTTACAGAAAATGAGAGTTATCTTTTTGACCTACACTATTTGTCTTCTCTCCTGAAGTTCAAATGTATGTGAAGTCTTGTTTAGCCAGACGCATGGGAATGCACTGTTCAGACTATCAAAGAAGAGATGTTTGCTAAGTAGTTAAATTAGGAAGATTTCTTTTTCATGGGATTCTGCACACTCATTGGATGAATCCAGTGTCTTATATAGACAACAAATCCTGGAGTGCTTCAACAGCATGCTCGCTCAAAAGGAGAAAATCTTTATTTGGGCTCCGTCTTATCTTTTCCCTGTGGAATTTCCTAATTCAGCTGCAAAGATAAAACAAGTTCTAAAGTCACTGAACATCAAGTGTGGAAATATTTGTACATTTTGTTTCCGATTCTGTTGAAGGACTTTTCAGATATTGATCTAGATGGAACCAGCTTGCTCAAGAGCACAGGCTGGCAGTTCTGTCGTTCATTATTGTAAAAGCGTATGAATGTTCAAATGTTTTCTGCATTCCAAACAATTGCACCTCCTGCCTTCAAGATGAAACTGGCATCTCCCTGGGATTCGGAGTTTCTCTGGGAGACAGCCTGCCTCTTGTTTACTCAAGTATTATGCAGAAGGCAAGTGAAAAAGCAGCAACCTTTGATCAAGTGAAACGGTCTATGAGTTGAAAGAGATTCTCCCAGATGAGCATCTCCTAAGTATGGGGCCCTGATAAAGTCATCCTTGACTATTAATTTAGGCTCTATTTTATAATTCATTACATTTGGGATGCTAAAAAAGCAACAAACAAACCCCTGACTTCTGCCAAGTGGCATATGGTTGTCATCTCTGTTCAGCCTCTGATGCACAGATCAGCATTCCTTCTCTCCTAGGAATAAGCTGATCTATAAGAAGGTTGTTCTGCATAGCTTGGGAAGTGCTTGAGGTGGTGGCTTCTTTGTGACTACTGCAGGGGGAAAAAAAATGAATGATGGTGATATCCTGCAAAAGATGCATGTCCTTGTGGAATTTCAGTGTTTCTGTCATTTTGTCTTAAGATTATGGAGACATAGGTTAGGTCTACATTGCCCTGTTTTGGCAGTAAAGGTGACGTTCACAGAGCCTTCAGGATTATTAAGATATAAAGTTGACTGTATCCTTTAAATTGTGTCCTTGTTGAACACCGCGGTTCTGCTGGCACCTCCACGCTGGGTGTCTAGGGGAATGTGGACTTTGAAACCATCAATCTCTTCATGCGGTCCCTGAGGTTTCACAGGAGTCTTAAAGTAATTTTAGACATAACTATTACGATTCTGCTGGCACCTCCACGCTGGGTGTCCAGGGGGATGTGGACTTTGAAACCATCAATCTGTCCATTGGTCCGTGAGGTTTCACAGGAGTCTTAAGGTATTTTTAGACAAAACCATTACAGAAAAGGGCAATTTTATGTTGTCTGCCTGACTTGTCTGTATGTTACTGCCTCAGCCTTTATGCTAACAGCAGCAATTGCAAAGTTCTGTGATCAAGCTGAAGACTTGAAGTGAAATGAAGTGAAATTCAGTGTAGTTTTCAGACAGGACTTTCACTGCCAGGAGCAATTCTGCTGGTGGAACCACCCTTCTGGCATTAGCCCTGATCTAGCCCTTGTGAGTCAACTGGAAAGCCCAATTTTATGTACATTCTGGCAGAAAATATCATGTTTCATCCAATCACAAAGTTTTGTCGTTATTTGCAGAGAGTCAGAAACTATTTCTCCAAACCTTTGGAAAAAAATCTATGAGAGACGCGAGTTATGGTGCAGAAGTCATTCCTGCAAAGCGCTCTGCAGCTCCTAACCATCCAAACCCCAAGGTTGTGAAGTTGACATCTAACCCGTGTCAGAGACTTCAGCCCAAACAACTACACCCTCTGGAGTGACCCCTTTGTACAAAAAGGCCACCGTGTCCCATAGGGATCTGGACATCTACTTTTAGGCTTCATTCTTTAAGTCCGAATACACAAAAAGGCAAAGTTACCCCTAAGTAATCTCTTTTCTGCTTCTTTCTGCCGTGAAGAAGTCCTTATCTTGCCAGTGTTTGTACAGGAAATGTTAGCAGAACTGATGTTTTTCCAGCAGTTGAGGACCATCTGTACTACAACAAACTCATCACCTGCCAGGTTTGTTCAGAACACCTCTTAGTCCATATGTCTTCTGCATCCACAATAAAGAAGAGATGTATGAGCCATTTCTCCTCCCTGTGACCTTCCAAACGCTTTGGCATTTAGCCTTGGTGCTGATACATGAATTCTCCAGATTAATATCTGGTTTTCATTCTGCTGACCCATTTTCATTGCAGAGGGTATATTTATTTCTCACCAATTTTGAAGGACTGTCCTTTTTTTAGACATTGCACAAGGAATCTATCATCTGCAAATAATTAAAATTAAACACTGGAAATGACATTGTATTGCTAATGAGCAGATGTGTCTACTTATACCAGTGGAAGAACAGCTGTACACATAAAAAATGCTACA